GGGGGGGGGGAGGGTGGCACTCCCAGAAAAATTGTGTGAGAGTGTGCAACCCGCCTCCCAAAACCCTTACCCTGTTTAAGATCAAACTGTGATTTTCTCTACCCTATTTATGATCTTACAAAAATTTCGATACCCTATTAAACACCTGACCTGCCTTATAATCAGTTGCCTAGTTTAGATCGGTGTTAAAGGCATTGTGTAAGGCTTTTATTGATGGTCTCATCGATAATGATGAAAAAGTAGTTTCTTCTAAAAACGTGCCCAATTCAAGACTAGAGTGCAAAAACCATAACATATTTGAGACCAAAATGGCCGAAATCGATATCCTATTTCTGACGAAAACGACTAAAAAACCATACCCTTTGGGGCCTTGAGACCAAAATGGCCGAAATCGATATCCTATTTCTGACGAAAACGACTAAAAAACCATGCCCTTTGGGCATTAACTGATGAAGAGTGGTTATAATGACCCATCAAAATCTAAGTATTGGAAAGTGGTGAAAACTGTTTTGAGTCACCTTAAATCATTATTCACTCGACAACGTTAGCCGGAAGTTTAGTCGTACCGTGGAGAAATGGTTAAATCTTAGACATCTCTCTTAAAATGGAAGTTCGCATATTTAAAATTGTTAACGAATATTTCCTTACAGACTGCCTTAAAAGCCTTGGGGTATCGACAAACAGCCGTATTCCTGACGCTGATATGACAGCATCCACCTCATATGATTCTAAACACGCGCCGTTGGGAGGTCGTCTGAATTTTCAAGCTCAGGTTAACTCTGCGGGACAAACCACTCAGATCGGAGGTTGGGCTGCCCTACATAATGACCAAAATCAGTATCTCCAAATCAAGTTTGGCCAGATTTTTCAGATAACTGGAGTGGTCACTCAAGGCAGAGCGGACGCTGCTCAATGGGTGAAGAGCTACAAACTCGAATACAGCACCGACGGATCAACTTGGACTTACTATCCAAACGTAAGATGTACCTTTACCGCGCGTTTTACGCAGAGTTTATCACTATAATGAAAAAAAAAAAAAAAATAGAGTCACAGTTATTTTTTCTTTTAATATCTTATCGGCACAGATCTTTGTGAGTTAATTTAACCCTTTAAATTTAAACTTGTGCGAAGGAAGTTTTTATATTTTATGAAATCACTACCTCCGGAAAGACAAAAGCGAATTATTTCTACTGTCACAAGGCGTTGAGCACAGCAGAACGTTTGCACATCGTAACTTCTAAGTGTTTTAATCCTACAGACCCTTACTGGCAACAATGACCAGGACACAGAGGTTCGTAATGAAGTCAGAATGTTTCAAGCTTTGTACCTCAGGTTTAGACCACAGTCATGGCAGGCACATATCTCGATGAGAGTTGAGGCTTATGGCTGCCCACTGCGTAAGTACTTCATGTAATATATCAAACACGAAAGACCGTGTTTGACCACATTTCCAAATGCGACGCGCAAAATTTCCAAAATACGACACGCAGCGGAGTATTTTTGACGAACTTCGAGATGTTTGGAAATGCGGTCAAACACGGTCTTGAGTGTTTGATATATCTTCTCAATCGAAACTAAAGCTAGATAGAAAATGAATAATTAAAATCGTAAAATTAAAATCTATGCTAATTCCAAACACCGTCACGGTCATGATTTCTTTTGTTTAAACTTAATGAATTATTAATGAGCTTCAGAGTATGGTTTAATAGATATTGCGCAAGTACTTGTTATTTCGTAAGAATTACGTTACAGGTCTTACTTCTTTAACCTTCCCTCGACCCATTACAATTTTCGATTGAGATATTGTAAATCTCTTCGAATTGGCAGAGGCTGCAAAAAATGTGATATGAGAAGGCAACTTAATCTGTCCCTGTCATGCACTTACTAGAACGCGAACGAACTATAAGACGCTAGATTTGGGTAGCTGCTCAAAACGATTCATCTCCCTAATATAAGCGGTTCGAATAGCCCATTTCCCAGTTGCCTTAAGCCTCTCTATCAAAGCGAGGCTTGGTGCACAACCATTAATATCAAAATGAGTTTAATTTGCATGTGAATGAAATCTTATTTTCATATGAAAGGATTAGCACTAAGACTCGCTTTGAGAAAGAAGCTAAAGGTAATTCAGAAATGGCCTATTGCGATTAGAGTAGTTTTCACTTGATTGTCACAAGTAGATCGCGACTACGCGCAATTGTGGGGACCTTCGCAGTGCCTTTTAGGGTTTTGAGCTAAAAAAATATATGTCAGGAGATATTTGAAAATCAACTGATTGTTATTTTTTTTTCTCATTTACCACGTATTTATCGCTGTGAAAAATTATGCAAGTGTCAGTTAATGTGTTGTTCAGTAGAATTAGTACCTCTTAGGGGCAAAAAAATTCAATCCACGCCCACAAAGCAGGGTATTGGAACCTTTTACGTTTTTTTTGCAAAATTACCGACGAGCACCCCAGTCCTTTTTATTTCGAAGACCCCAGGGACGTGTTTCCGCGCTTCGTATCAGGTACATGCTTTTGCTTCAAGTTTTGATTGCTTCGCTGGATTGTTGGCGTATTTTGGGATTGACGAAAGTGATTACTTTGTATTTCATTCGCGATAATCAAGTGAAAGCCGCTTTATGACTTGAAGTAATGCTTCCCAGGCACCAAGGGAGACCAAATTGAAAAACATTGTGTGACTCTAAAATACCCATAATCTGATTTATACTTTAACAGGGCTCGAAATTGCGACTCACTGGTCGCCAATACGACCGAAAATTGAGCACTGGCGACTAAATTTTCAGAACTGGTCACCAGCTGGCGACTCGATCGCGTTTCGTCCGATAACTAAAGAAAACCACGACACAACTTTTGTTTTTAAATCTTTATATTAGGAAGTCAATCGGATCTGGTAGCTAGTATACAACTCACCTTTCCGTCCCCAGTAAAATAATGTCTGAATGTTACAAGACAATCGAAAAAATTGAATGTATTTCGACACGTTGATACTGCGTTCACGGCGCGCCATCTTGTTTCAGCGGCTTCTTCCGAAACTGGGATCGCAGGCGCACTTCAACACCATTTGCTTTTCATTTGCCGCGAAAATGGTGGCAGATATACCAATCAGTTGAAGCAATTACGTGAGTTTTTACGTGCGGGGTATTAAGATTCAACCAAAAGGTTGATCCAAACTTTGAATCCTTGATGCAGGGAAAGTGGATTTCACCAAACTGTAGGCAGCGAAAAGGCGTCGAGGAAAGCAAGTCGAAAATAAAGAACGGTGTTTCGAAGAAGTAGCAAAGGGAAAATACGAAAGAACCCGTGTTTGTCTCACAATGAAAAACACGGACCTAAAACGTTTTATGCTTCGCTTCATTTAAAATGACTATGGAGACAACCATCACCTTCGGACCAGATACATATCACCTGAGAACAACGGTAGCTTTATAACTAAGTGTTACTCATGCTGTTTCTAATTGTTTTCGCTCTTCAATTGTGACTTTTCTTGCGTGCAAAGTAACGCATAAAATCGTGTTCTTGTGTAAGTTGTATATAAAATAAGTTGGCAACCAAAATTTACAATCTGGCGACCAAAATTTTTCCGTTAGTCGCCAGCTGGCTCCCGAACGAAAAAGTTAATTTCGAGCCCTGCCGTAGTAATGTTAAACAAGACAGAACCTTCGCGATCATTGTGGATAAAAACATTCTTGCAAACACAAGCATTGACCCTGGCCAAGTAGTTCAAGTGATGCCACTCTTCACTACCCAAGTGGAAACATTAGCAGCCGATAAGCATGTGATTGCTAAGTTGCTATTGGTCCTCTTTGAAATTATAAATTTGACCCGTTTGACAGCTGGCATCTGCATGAAAGTGAGATTCAAGTCCAAGGTAACCAGAGGTTTTTCTTTCTTGCCGTTTCACGTTTTCACCGCTTCACAGCTCTCTCACAGCTCTCTCACAGCTCTCTCATGCAGAGAAAAATCAAGAGAAGAGAACAATCACGAAAAACCTCTGGGACCAAGGAATCACCTTAAAGTGCAAGGCAGGAGACGTTGTACTATATACATTATTCTGTGAAATACACTTAAGTATGTTGGTGGTAATGAATTAATTTTACACAGTCCCACATTTGGCTGGAGGTAACTGTATCACCCTGCTGGGGTCTCAGCCAGGTCTGGCCTGAGTCTCAACCATGATGATTTAAGTTTGAAATCTATGTTGGCCTATAAGGGGCATCGAGGCCTATCTGCTAATTATTTTCTTGAAATTTTAAGATAAGCATTTTTCCATGCCTTGGTTTAATTTTCATTTAGCCATTTCAATATTTTTTGTTTT